GGCTGTGCAGGGGTGGGGGGTGGGGGGGGGGGAAGGGAGGGCCATCTCCTGCATCAGGTTGGCTGGCACCAACAACAGGTTTAGCTGTGATCTGCACCAAGCGCGGTGGAGAAGGGGAAGGTCGAGCACCTGAGGTACCTCACCGTGCAACAAGAGTACAATAATTCACATGCCGCAGTTAAGATACATATCATGCAACATCACAGAGATGCAGATGTTCCCAGCACAGCACAGCTTCGTAAAAGTCCGCCAAGTGCCGGCCATGGCCATAAATGAAGGTAAACACCTACTGCCTGTATCCACCTAAGTGCATGAACATTTCACCATATGTCAATTTAATATCTTTGAGCTTTTGAATTGGACAATATTAACTACGGGACCATCTCTTGTGATGCAAACCAATAAACACCAATAAATTCCAATTAAACATCAACAGTTGTTCCCCGCAAAACGACACTGTCACTGAGACTCGGTGGCGGCAAAATTAGCTGAAGGATGTACGAGAACTATCAGATGCATAAAGTTGCATGTGGGTCAACTTAACAAGTAGAATGGAGTCATTACAAGATTACTCGTGTTGTTTTACTCTGCCGCAGGATTTCTCCAATCTGCTATGCATCATCTTACGTTATTGATCTCAGGCAGTTCATTTAAAAGTTAGCGATGTAGACGAGACAGAATCTGTTCATCTATGCTGACACTGTGGTATGCCTGATTTAGCTGTTCTTCGTTAATCTCTTCCGCGTGGAGTGGTGCTCATGAGGCCTACCTTGTAGCGCATGAATAGCATGTGCATGTGTGCGCATGGAAACCAGCGGATTTCGACGTCCAGGTGAGGAATATATATACTTTGAGGAGACAAAGATCAACGCCTATATTCTGGATTAGCTGGAGAAGACAACACTGTCGTGTGGATGTTAGCAGGGAATGAAATAACACAAGAAAGAGAGATGAAATGGATAAAAGACAATGTTGATAATGTCCATTTGTTCCCAGAGAGAGAGAGAGAGAGAGAGAGAGAGAGAGAGAGGATCTGTTCTCTGCACGTAGTTTGTGCGGACCATCCTATGATATAACCGGAGGGGAACAGAACGTCGGATATGGGTTAACGTTCCAGGCTAAGTTGCTGAGTTCTCCTTTCACCTCTTTTTCTGCTCGATGGGTAGATCAATAGAGCAGACAGGAAATAGAGTTAAAGCTGCTTTAGTTAGTATCTGCATGGCGAGCACATAAATCTGGAACAGCTGCAAACGGGGACGACTTTGGAATTTGGATGTCCAAAACATTATGGAGGAGGAAATCATAATAGAAGTTACACTGAGGTGAGGGACGATGAAGCAAATGAAATTAGCTCCTGAGAGTTCAGATTCTGAAGATCTGATAAATCTGAAACATTTAGGTCCTTCAACAACTCAGATCATGTTGACACCTCTTGGGACATTTTGGACAAATTCAACGACAAAATTCTGTTACACCTAATTGGTACCAAATTGAAGTTTTAACACCTAAATTTTGCTAGATTAATTTTAGAGTGTGACATCTTAAGACTTTGCCCTCAAATATCACAGGCAAGCCAACATAGAATCCTAGCTAGATATGCTTGGCATCTTCACATCGGCTGGGAGTGTCTTGTGCCAACCTGGTTATTCAATTGCTCATCCATTGGGCTTCTTTGGATGAAAGAACTTGTGCATGTATCCCCATGCAATTTCAAGTCGTTCATCTATGTATCATCGCTTAGCTACATAGTCATTTTACCATATGATTAAGGTTGTGAATACAATTATGCATCTGATCATGCTGTTTCCAATCGAAAGAGGACTAATTGCTGGGTCTTTATCCTCATCCTGAGCTGCAGGTTGGGTTGCTGTGGATTCTCGCTGGGGCCTCATTCATTTAAATGCATGTGATGCTTGTGGGTAGGTGGTAGAGAAGGAAACGGAGCCTAGTGGCTAATTCCAACACCACACACAGGTGTGGACAACAGACTGAACACATCCTACAAAGCTTCATTTTGCTACCTCCTCCCTTGACAAGGGAATCATACAGCAGAAAACGGAAAACAACTTAATTCTTATCCTCCCATTTTCTCAGGTTGCCTCACGCTGCATTGACATGCCAAAAGAAAAAGCAACAGAGGGAGCCATAATAATACACTCGAGCCCTCAGAGGAAGATCTTCTTGAGATATGTAGGCATAAGGTCCTTCAGTATCTTCTTCCTTTTTTCCCTCCGTCTTTCCTTGATACCTTTTGACACAACACAAACAGGTAAGCAGAGAAGTGTTTGTTCTTGGAATAACATGTCCACAATTGTAGTCACTACTTAACTGGTTTTGACAGGGTTGGCTTGACACAAGTTGAGGATTGAGAGTAGCCTATTTGCTCCTGTGATGCAGGCCTGGCCTGCAAAATCTTGTTCTTGTTAGAAATCATTAGGGAGTGGAGTAGAGGAACACAACATGTCAAAATTAGAAGGAAAGACTGGAATGTACTCGAAAGTGGGTAGTGGAGAAGCTGCATGAGAAGTCAAAAAGACCCTCCACGGATTGCTTCTGGTGGTTGTTGCAGTCATGGAAGCTGTTCTGTGATCAGAAAGAGGATTTTCAAAGAGGTCAACGATAGGCAAAAGCAGGAAGAGACAGAGAACAGAAGCTACAGCATGCCTCAGAACTGCTGAAGAGTTGGGAGCTGGCGGTGTCATCCAAAGCAGCGGAGTACTCCTTCCGTTGAGGTGCTACAGCTCTCTTCTTCTTGGCACCATCACCACCCAGTGCAGCACTTGGAGGTGCAGCAGTGTGAAGGCAAGTGTCGGAGTTGTGATAGCAGCAGCCATGGTCATCATCTCCATGCAGCAGTGGCGGCCCAGAGGACGCATCGGAGACCATGGACAAGTCCTCCTCTTCTTCTCCACGGAAGGAGCTACCGTCGTGGTGGTAAAGCGAGTTCTGGTCATCCAAAGAGTGGGCCAAGTACAAGGTCCAACCCGATTGGCAACCACTGCTGTACTCGGAGCTCATTGACCTGAATCAACTCTACTATTGCTCTATCGATTATGTGTTCAAGTGGTGCTGGACTAGCTTCTTGTAGTATATATAAGAGAGACAGGTAGAGGAAGAAGAAGATGAAACAAGTAGCTGTGGAGGAAGGAGAGCCAGATCACAGGCAAGCTTTGTCCTTGTGCCCCTGCCATCCTTCACCCGGTCTTTGTGTTCCTCGGTACAGATGAAAATTAAGACGGCCAGTTGGGCATTGGACGCTCTGCTGGTGATCTTGGGGAGACAACTAAGAGAGAGAGAGAGAGAGAAAGAGAGGTCAGTCTCTTTCCATGTGTGTGTTCAGTCAGCAATGTGTTCTCTATGTACAAAGGGAAGGAAACTAGATGTGTAAACAAAATGATGAAAAGAAAAAGAACAAGAAATATATGGCTTTTTAATTAGAAGTATATGAGAACAAAACTATGGTTTATGAACAAAATTAGTCTGTAGAAGCCATCATCATGTATGCTAATATTAGTCAAGTAAAAATTTCTTTTATATGCTCCTAGACAAGTGGATAACTCTGACATTACTTCTTGATATGATGCAATGTGTATTGCCATGATGAGTGTCTTAAATGAATGGCGTGACAAATAGAACAAGGAATTAACTTCATCTTTATTAAATATTTGTCACTCTGATATCATTGAATTTGTTGCCTTCCTCGCTTGTATGCAGTCATTCTTATAATCCTAGTTTAAAAATACATGTAATGTATTTATAAGCTCAAAGACAACTTGTTTTAGGTTTGACATATGAAGGACACTCAAATATATGATTTAAACCTAAATGAACATTGAATATTATGCAAATATTTTTAATTAAATACCGAGAAATAGAAAGCTGTAGGATTTAAACTCGCCCCACATAACCTGCTATGATATCCCATATAAATATTTTGAATAGGCTATAAGCTAAGCTATCAGAAAAATGTCCAATATATTTATAATATCTGATGATGAAGCTTTTATTATGGAATGGCCCATTGGAAAACTTCTCCTTGCTTGCAAACCGTATGAAGAATCAATAGTAAATATCAACAAACATTATAGAAAATTCATATGCCAGCGAAGTGTGTGTAAAAGGGAAAGGGATAGACACAGAGACAAGATATGAATGCTTGACTTGCTTTAGTAGACATGTATTGGTTGTGATGATCTAGCACACTATTACATTTTATATAGGGCTTGAGAAGATGTTGGATGTTTATTGTGAAGCTTTTGATCTGTGAATCAACTGCTTCTGTATTGGAATATAAAGCATAGTGGCAGTCTCTTGGGAGTCTCTGCGTGTTCTTTGTTCATTTACTTCTGTTATTGTCTCGTGACCAGTGGTCTTGAGAGAAGAGAAGAAAGAATCACACTTCCTTACAGCCATCACCAGTAGTTACATTGGATTTCATTGAACTGACAGAATTAACATTCCAGTTCCCAAGTGGTGTGTGATTAAGGAGCTACAGAAACAAGTGCTCCAGCATTGGATTCACGACAGCTATATGCTTTTACTCATTCAATTCTAAACATATAGGAAATAGTATCAATTGATACGAAGGATGTATAGCCCATCTTTAGATGGATAATAGAATTATAAAAGCCTGCAATTCTGCAGAAGTTGGATAACAGAGTCATGGTATTCATAATAAACACCCTCTATAAACGTCTGAGAGCTAAGAAGTGATATGTATTTGTTATCCATATATATCATTGACAGAACTATCATATTATTTTTCAAGCCCTCTTTTTCACAAACAAGCAAAGCAAAGAAATAATGACTAAAAACAAAATCCTATGATTTTAGTTTCATGAGTGTTTAAATTATTTGTTCCTCTTTTAAGTTAAACAAGTTCATGATTGGAGGATTTTCTCAATTGTAGCATCAAGCTGTTGGACTTTCATATGATCAATCATGATAATAGCAATAATAATAACAATAACAAAGATCAGCCAGTAGTAAAGACTTAGACAGTCATAGACAATGATATTTATTGAAGCATCCTTCAACCTGCATCATCACTTGGTATCCACAGAGATCTTTCAGCAACAATATGTCTCCACTAAAGTTGCTCAACAATGGAAGCTTCTTGCTTGGCCTCTATCGACCATGACTTGAGTAAACAAAGTCAATAGAGATGCAACATGTCACCACTCATTTCCGACCATGTGAGTTGGAGAAATTCTTAAGTCGGTTTCTCTCAAATTACCCGACGCTATCTAATGATGGATCAAGAAATGAAATAAGGAAGCCTCCCTTCATCGTCATTGCCAAAATCCTCCTTCCCACAATGACGATCAACCTCGTTCGACGAGGCAACCTTGCGGAGGGTCGATGATCAGCGATGCATCACGACCCTATCGGTTTGTTGTGGAGCCCTAGCCTCACCATCACCAACGTTCTCGATCGTTGCACCAACATCCTCCTTACCGTAGCGGTGATTAATCTCATTCGTCGAGGAAGCCTTACGGAGACTCTATGATCAATGGTGCGTCGCAACCCCATTGGTTTGCTATGGAGCCCTAGCTTCACCGTCACCAAGTCCCTGCTCATCACGTCAATGTCCTCCTCCTTGCAATAGTGATCGGCCCCATTCATCGACAAAGCCTTGTGAAGCCTCGGTGATCAGCAATGTGTCAGCCTATCCCCATTTAGCTTTGTGGAGCATCGCTGAATTGTTGCGTCCTCCCTCTTTTTGTGTGGTGCATCTTCTACAGGTGGAAGGCTTGGCTATGGTTGAAGGCTTCATTTGCGACATGCAAGGCTATAAAGCAGAATGTGGAATGGTTGCGAGACTAACCCTTGTATCAATGAAGTCTTCACAATGTTGTTGAAGCCTCAATGCCATCCTTCAGAGTGTCACTGAAGCATCGGTAACGTCACTTAAGCGCTGGCTACATCGATCAATCGTTCGATGCATCGTTAAATCATTCATTGAAATAACAAAAAATATAGAATATTAGTTAAATAAATCTTTGTTTCATTCATAATAGTTTGGTATTATTTTTTAATATCATTTAAATAATAAAATAAGATTACTTTAAATAGAGATGATCCTCTTCCAAATGAACTATACAGTATTTTAGATGAGAACCTTTGGAGATACCAGAATCAAAAGTACTTTTAGGAAATCATGTGATACTAGAACAAATTGAAAGATCTATTTCTATAACTTCAAACATGAAGCAATCATGAGCTATAAGAGCAAACTGAAGGATCTTCTTTTTCACAACCTCAAACTTGTAATTTTAATTTGAATGAGACATTTGTAATTGAGCTGAGAGGAGAATAACAAAAGAAGTCAAGGAAGATATAGATCATAATATATTTGATGCCCATGATGTTGTTGATGAATTTAAGGAATTTAATCCAGATATATATAAAAATCTCTTAGAGGATAAGATTATGAAAGAAGATTTTTAATCTTATTGCTTTAGCTCCCTATCTAGATAAAGATGAACTTGTCATCAATGAGTTATATATTGGATAGGTAAGAATATATCAAATGTAGAATTTATTGATATTATAATATTTAATATTATAATTTATTTGTAATATTTAACATAAAATTCCTTAATGTTTTGTACGTATTTAAAGCTATTTCAGAGTTTAAAAAGAGCTTTGCAAAAATATGTTATAAGAAAAAGTTTTGAAATAAAAATTGTTGTTTGTAAAAGTTACAAACTTAAAGCATGATATAAGGTTGAGCATTGTAAATGGATGATAGTTGCTCATGAAGGTAATACATGTTAAATTACAAAGTTCATTAATGAACACCGATGCAATATGCCTAGAGAAAATTGAGATAATCCATTTTGCACTGACAAGTTTATGACTGAAGAAATAAAAAAATAAATTCTTGTAAATGAACAATATACTCCTAAGATGATCATATATTAAAAACAAATTCGAGTGGTGATTTCATATAGAAACCCATATTTGGCATGTGAAATGAAGTTCATGAAGACTTTAATGAATCATATGGTGAATTAATATATTTCCTATTTGAGTTAAAAGTTCATGTTCATGAAACGATTATTTGTTTAATTATTATAAAGGATGAATGTTTCAGTTGGGTCTTTTGGGCATTCGATGCATGTTTGTATAGTTTTATAATGTACATTCATCTTAAAAGATATTGGATCCCCATCCAATAACCACTGTAAGCTCTATTGGGTCTCATCGGATCTATTAAAACAAGGCCTTATTAGATATCCCATATCCAATCTTCTATTCATTGTATTGTCCACTATATATAACCCTCTAGACTCAATACTGAGCTGGCCATGAATTACACTTTTAAGAACTTCTTCTGACTCAGTGAATTATTATCCCCATAATAATTCACTAACTCATCGACTATGAACATACTTGGCCACTATACCATAATCTTCAAACGATACAATGAGATCTAATTCATTGGACCTATTTGCCCTTAGTTATCGTATATCTATAATCCTTTATTCATCTAATATCTCAAAGTGTTAGGATCAAGAGCGGCACTAAGAGGGGGGGGTGAATTAGTGTAGTAGAAAAATTATTCGTTTCAAAAGTCTTCATTTCAATTAAACCCGATTCCGATGAAATCATTTCGTAAAGATTTTAACTTGAAAGCGTATTGGAGCGAAGAGAAGACAGTAAGAAGGTAAAGTAGTTTGCAAGAAAGGTAAATTGCTCAAGACAAAATGCAAACCAGAATTTAGTGTAGTTCGATCGTTGTGACCTACATCCACTTTTGGATTCCTCCTTCGTCGAGGTCACCGGCATCCACTAATGGCTTTTCTTCAATAGGCGAAGGCCAACCACCTTTTACAGCTCTCTCTCCTTTTACTGGGTTTAGGAGATAACCCTTATAAGTTGTTAGGCTCGGGGTCGGCACTAAGAGGGGGGTTGATTTAGTGCAGCGGAAAAATCACGTCTTCAAAAACTTTCGTATGATAAAATCTATTTACGTTGAAAATGATTTCAGAAACTTAACTTAAAAGCATATAGAAGGATAGTGACTAAGTAAAGTAGTTTGCAGTATGTAAATGACAACAATAGAAATGCAAACCATATTTTAGAGTGGTTCGGTTAACGTGACCTACATCCACTTTCGACTTCCTCCTCCGACGAGGTCACCGGCATCCACTAGAGGTCTTCCTTCAATAGGTAAAGACCAACCACCTTTTACACCCCTCTTCTCATTTTCACGGGTTTAGGAGACAACCCTTATAAGCACTCACACTCCTCTTATAGAATTCTAAACT